GCACACACACGCACTCCAGGTTAAATAAACAAGTAAATAAACAAATGCATTTATGTGCATGGACAGACTGGCAACAGTTAAGAAGTGGCAATAATTAGGAGGCAGGAGTTAGGCTTTCAGCTGTGACCATATTCCCGTAACCTGCTCCTGATATAAACATCCAGGGGAAAAGGCTCTAACTTTCCAGGCACGCGTCCTCTTTGGGGTTGACTCTGTCCCTTTGGCCCAAGACAATGCCACCTCCAGTGGCTCCTCAGGCACCAGGCTGAGCTGAAAATCTGCTCCTTCTTTTTCCCAGGCTGGCATAGTTTCCTGTTTGCTTCCCTCACTCCTGCTTCCCCATTCCAGGGCTAAAAAGTTTTTTTAAAGAACAAAAATGCTCCACTTAGCGCCCTGTGTTAATGTTTACCTCCGCAAAGCTGTGGTTTCTGGGAGAAAATACCTTCCTTGATTGCCCCAGACACCTCTCTCCTCTCTCAACTCCATGTTTCTCAAGCTTGGCGCTGTTGACATTTGGGACTGGATAATTCTTCGTGGCAGGGAGCCTGACTTTGCCTTATAGAACCTTCCCTGGTTTCCATCCATGAGATGCTGGTAGCACCCCTACCCAGTCATGATGACTGAAAGTGTCTCCAGACATTGCCATCTGCCCCAGAATTGGGGGGGAAATCACCTGGTTGACGACTGCTCTTAGGAGCTCTTCTGGGTCTCTTGCCCTGAGTACTCATCCTTTGCAGCTTTAGGAAGAGATGCCTGTGGGGTTTTCCATCCAGACCATCAGGATGGCCTTGAGAGGGGCTGGAGCTTCTGTTCAAAGGCAAACAGCAGCAACATTAAAGCAAGGCTGGTGACACAATAGATGGATATTTTTTAATGTGGTCAAGTAGGCTGGCTGGACCAGGTGACAGTGACCAGTTAGGATCCAGGGGTGGTTTCTAGAGAGGTCACGGGGCCTTTTCCTCCCTGTCACTGTCCTGGGAACCCACATTTCTTTCATTCGCGCCTCATCCTAGCCAATGTTGGATTTGTAAGAAATTTTGAAGAAATTCATCTAATCCGATCTCCTCCAAGTGGAAGCTGATGAAAGCCTGGGATCTTGAGAGAGCATGAAGCTTGCCCCCACTTAAGTTGCAAATGCTTCTAACCACAGATGCAATTTTTACACACCTGCAATTGCTCATTTTCATTTGATGGAGGTAGAAGGTACATACAACCAGAAACTACAGGATGCAGAGGACATTTCTAGAAGGATATAAATAATTGGGCCCAAAGTGAGTTCCTGACAGAAACTCCCAACAAACCAGTGAAGGCATCTGACATCCCTTCCCAAGCATTCAGTCCCTCTCTCTAATCTTCCAGAACCCAGGCCTAAGACAGAGGACCCGCTGGCCCTGCCTGGCCGCCAGGTGCCCAGAGGACAGCAGGCCAGGAGGTGGTCCCTCCCTCTCCCAACTCCTCCTCTGGAGCAGGTGAGTGGCTGAAGCATCCGTTCTTCTCCCCCAAAGCCCCCTGGCCCTTCTATGCTGCCTTCTGACTAGAGACCCTGCTTCCTCCTTGCTGCATTCCACCCCAAAATAAATTCAATTGAAAACCATGAACCTGCTGGTTCCAGAGGTGGGCCATCACTTAGGGAGATCATTTTATTCTCGTCTGGCTCCCTGGCCCGGCGAAGCACCCCCCACCTCCAGCTCCATGCAGATAATGAGAGCAGTGACATCTACTCCTTCCGCTGACCTAGTTGATTACCCCACACACCTCCCAGTGCTTTGCATAACCAGCCCCGACAGCAGGAACTCCTTCCAGGAGGAGTGATTGACATATTTTATTTCTAATTGAAGCTTAATCGGGACCAAGGATGAGATTCCCAAATATTCTCTCTCTCTCTGTCTCTCATTCTCTGGCTTCCTGTTTTTCTCTTCCTCTCTCCCCTAGCTTCCTTTTAAAATCATAGGGCCAGGTGATAAAGGACAGAGGCAGTTTCTGGGATCCCTGAATGGAGAGTGATGAGGTGGGGAACTCAGGGAGGAGGTCCTGAGAGGAGGCTGGGGAATCTGTTTCCTGGTGAAATGAAAGTGGTGCAGAGAAATGGCCTCCTCTTCCCCCCTATTAGCTAAAAAGCCTATGGGGTTCCTTTCTGTCTTGATCACATTATCTTATTGGGGTCACCTTGGGACCACTGGGGCTTCCCTCATGCTCAGTGGTAAAGAATCTGCCCACAGTGCGAGAGACCTGGGTTCAGCCCCTGGGTAGGGAAGATGCCCTGGAGGAGGAAATGGCAACCCAGTCCAGTATTCTTGCCGGAGAATCCCCTGGACAGAGGAGCCTGGGAGGTCACAGTCCATGGGGTGGCGAAGAGTCAGACACAACGGAATGACCAGACAATAACACTCGGGGCCATCTGAAGTGGCCGTGTGTTCCACGGGACGGGCAAGACACACACGCTGGGTCTCCCCCAGGTGTACCCCAGCTCTCCTCTGGCATCACACATCCTGCCCTTTCAGTGGGGTGTGATCGGCCTCCCCCAAGGCCCAGTATCCCCAGAATAGGACGGGTTGGCATGCTGACCAAGCCGGCAGGCAACCAGACCAGACCTCTCCAAGCTGAGGCTGGCCTGTCCACGCCCATCTCCCTCTGAACGGACGGATGCACGGTTCAGCCTCTTGCTGGACGGTCAGTGTGGAAAGGCTGTCCACCCAACTTCTGCTCTTTCTGCCGCGCTCCTACCTGGGCAGTGTCCCTTCTCCCTGAGTTCAGCTGGGTCCTCAGATGTCTGACTTTTATGGCTGATGGGAGAGGGTGGGGCAGAATACTAGCAGGGGTTTGAGGCATGGGGATTGAGATTCTGGAATGTAAGGACAAGACTAGAGCTATTCACTCCTACCACCTGCCAGCACTGGACACGCTTTGTCTCTCATCCTCACCACCACCCTACCAGGTCACTATTCCCGTTTTCCAGGTGAAGAAATAGGGTGCAGAGAAGCTCATTGTCTGCCCAGAGTTTCCCAGGATGCGGAGAGGGGAACTGGTCTGTGCTCCATGAAGCCCGTGAGTTACTAGCTGAGGGGCTATCAGGCTTGTCCATGTGAAGACACTCATGTGGACCAGAGGTCTCTGCCGGGGTAATGGAGGCCTGGCCTCTGAGGTTCAAGGGGCAGGCAGCTGGAACTGGACTCCATGTCGGGAGGCGCTATATCCAGGGCTAGGGATGAACCACAGTCTATGCCGGCCACCTGGGAAGAAGCCTAAAGTCTCTCTTCTGGGTTAGGGGCTGGAGGAACAAGTCCCATCTTGGCTGGGTATATGCTTTTATCTCACCCGCCCACAGCGGGCCCCAAAGGCTGAAGACCGACCCTCCTTCCCGCCTGCTCTCGGGGAGCCGCCACACCAGGCTCTCCCAGCCTCCAGGCAGGTCAGCTGGGGCGCAGAACTGGCGGCTGTGCCCCCTGGGTGGGTTCCTGCCGGACTCCCTGCGCTTCCACCGGATCTCTAAGATGTACAATATGACTTCGGGTGTGCAGGATCCTCCCTCCCCACCCCAAACTTCCCGGGGAACCGCGAAACTGTCACATGCCCTACTGTGCGGGGGCAAAGACGCGGTGTCTGGCCGCTCTATACATTTACCAACTCCACATGGGAAGGGAGATGCAAAAAGGATACTCCCACTTTGTATCCCAAGGCGCCACTCTTCCAGCATCTCTACAACTTAAGTCAAAGTTGGGCAGGGCAGGCTGACTTCAACGGAGAAAAAGCAGGCGCGGAAGGGACGAGACGCGCGGCCTGGCTGGAGGCCGCCGAGGCAAGCGCCGAGCGGCCCTTTTGTCCTGTAGAGGGAGCTCCAGCCCCAAATTTCCCCGCTCCCTCCCCCGGCCCGCCCACCCCTGTCCGGCCTGGAGCCGGACTCCGGGTTGGACCCTTGCATCGGCCCGAACCACAGCTCCCCCGCCATCCCTGCGCAGGGACCTCAGAAAGCTGCCCTTCCTGGGCACTTGGGGAAAACCCACTGGGGTGCCAAGACGCACAGATGCCGCGCGGAACCGACCCCTCAACTCATAATGCGGGCTGGGCAGTGTCAACAAGGGGAGAGGATGTGCACCCCTGGATTTCCTGCTCCTCCACACACCCCCACTCACTGCCACCCCACATCTATGTATCTATAAGGAGGTGTCTTGGGGTCCGTGTGGTTGGAAGGGGATCTGAAACGGAGCTTGCACAGTCCCTTATACAAGACTGAGAAAGCCTCAGTTGTGTCTATGGAAGGATGGGGGGCAGGCTTCCAGATCCTTCTTGTGAGTTTTTCTGCTGTGTCATCAGACAAGGCCCCAAGGCCCCGCGGTTGCTTCCGTGGAACTGGGAGCTGGGCCCAGTTTCCCGGCTCCTTGAGGGGAATCTTGCCCCGTTTCCCACCTGTCTCCTCTGCCCTTTCTCTCCAGCGCCCGGGGTACTTCTCCAACCGCCTCTTCTCCAGCGGCGCCCCCAGCCCGGCCGCTTCGGCCTCTCCTCCGCTTCTGCTGTCCCAGACTCGCCTGGCCTTCTTTTCTGCTGATTCCGGCGACTCTTCAAACATGGGCGTGGGGTGGAGGGTAAAACAAAACAGAACAAAACGCACCAGGCAGACCCCTCTCGGGGCAGACAGGCGGTTTATAGTCAAAGTGGCAACAGCTCATTTATTTAGCCAAAAATAGATACTTTCTTGTACAATTTGGTTCACACATATGTACATTTTTCTGTATATACAAAAAAAAAAAGTCAGACGCGCTTATTCTCAATGAAACTCCACCCCCCAAAACCAACCGAACAAACAAACCTCACAAACTCAGCTAATGTGGGGAACAGAAGCCACTGGGGGTTAGACTGAGGGGGGATTTGTTTTATTCCTTTTTTTTTCTTTAGTTTTCTTTTTAGGTATTCATACACCGACATGCTTACAAGTCATAATTATACAGAGCGATTTTTTTTTTACAATTATTACAACGATTTAAAAATTTCTTTTAAAAAAAGAACTAGGATGAGGAGAGAGCCGATAAGACCAGAGCGGCATCCAGGTGGTTCTGGGGCCTGCAAGAGAGAGGCGATGGTAGTAAAGAAGATTTTTAGGGGGGACCGACGCATCCTAGGACTGGGAGACCGAACCCAGGGTGGAGGCCGGGGGGCAAGGAGGGACGCAGATCTCACTGTGAAATGAGGTCCAGCTGTGGACGCTGGTCTTCCAGTTAAACTAGAAGATTGGGCGGGAGGCGTCAGGACCCGAGGTCTGGGGCTGGTAGGAGGTGGGCTTCACCGGAGCCCCGGTGTCTGGACTGGGACTGTCGGAGAGTCTTCTCAGAGCCCGCGGGGACGCCGGAGGAGTGTGTTTCGCCCCCTTGTAAAAGCGCTTCCTAGCTGCGTTCCCCCGGGGCGGGGTGGGGTGGAGGGACCTGAAACCTAGTTTCCTCCGCATTCCTTCCTTCCCCGGCCTGCCAATCCCAACACCCCCACTCCAGTTCGGGGGTCTCTTACCGCCTGGGCACCGGCTGGAAAGCTGTCTTGAGTAACTTTTTCTCCACTTCCAAGGCACTACAGCGATCTACGGGAAGCGGGAGAAAAAGGAGGGCCTTTAGAGCGCTCGGCGTTCCAGGCCGCGGGAGGCGGGCGCGGCGTGGTAAGCGCCCTGCGCCCGCGAGGGATCTGCCCGGGCGCGGCCCCCAGACTCACCCCCTCCCTCCGAATCTTGCGCGTCGCAGTCACCTGTTCCGCCCTCTGGCTCCGCCGGCCGAGCGAAGGCAGCGGCGGCGGCCGGGTGGCCCGCGGCTCCGGGAAGTCCCAGCAGGTGTGGCGGGCCCGAGCCCAGCAGGGACAGCGGGTGCGGACGTGGGCCAGGCGGAGGGCCTGGGAACGGCCGGTTGGTCCAAGCGGGGAACTTGCCCAGCGGCGCCGAGACGAGTCTGTGAGCCGCGGCGGCGGCGGCGGCGGCCGGAGAGAGCTGCAGGGCCGAGGGCGCGACCGCTGCCCCCGGGGGAGAGCCCCCCGCGCCCTGAGGCGAGCGGCGCGGGTTGTCCGGGCTTGTGGCCGTCTCGGCCAGGGACCAGATCTTGGGTTTCTGCAGGGCCGAGGCGGGCGCCGGTGCAGGAGCGCAGGGGTCCAGGCCCACTGGGGGCGAGGGCGGAGATGGCGGGGCCGTGGCTACGGGCGGTGGCACTGGGGCCAGACTCAGGACGGGCAGCGGACGCTCCTCCAAGCCCTCGGAGCTGTCGTCCGAGTCGCTATTCTTGGAGTCTGAGATGGGTTCCAGGCCGAGGTCGCCGTCCCTGTGCGACGCCCCCGTCAGGGCCAGCTCGGGCCCCGCGGCCGCGCCGTCTAAATTCTCCAAATCGATCTCCTCGTCCTCCTCGTCGTCTGCCAGGCCCTCGCCCCCGGGGTCCTCCTCCTCCCCCCCGAGCTCCTCCTCCTCCAGCTCCAGTTCGCGTTTGCCGTCTTCTTCATCCTCCTCCTCATCTTCCTCCTCGCGCTCGCTCCCGTAAGCGTTGCCCTCCTCGTCGGTGCGGCTACGGGGCGCCCAGGTCATCTTGTTCTCCTTCTTGAGGCGCCGGCGCGCGTTGGCGAACCAGGTGGACACCTGGGTGAGGGTCATCTTGGTGATGATGGCCAGCATGATCTTCTCGCCCTTGGTGGGGTAGGGGTTCTTGCGGTGCTCGTTGAGCCAGGCCTTGAGCGTGCTAGTGCTTTCTCGGGTGGCGTTCTTGGGACGGGATGGGTCCCCGAACTGATACTGGCCATACGGGTAGAAGGCGGGGTGCGGGTGCGGAAACGCGGTGGCCGCGGCCGTATGCTGCACCCCGGGGCTGTCCTTCAGCTCATACTGCGTGCCCTGTACGCACATGGAGAAGGAAGGGACACGCGCGGAGGGAGCGTGGATGAGCCCCGGCCGTCGCCGCCTCCACCCTCCCGGCCCAGGCCACGCTAGTCTACTCTGAGCGCGCACACCTCGTCCGGCGCCCCAGCTCTAACCTTCCTTCCGCGGCTCCCAGGGCACTTACCAGCTGAGGGAAGATGGGCAGCTCGGCGGCGTAGGGCAGGAAGGCGCCGTAGCCTTGGGCGGCTGCGGCTGCGGCTGCCGCCGCGGCGTAGGGCGCCCCGTACACGGACGAGAGCACGTTGGACAGGGACCCTGAGGCAGCCAGCTCCGAGGCGCCGGCTCCCGGGCCGCCCCGGGCCCCAGCGCTGCCACCGCCGGCGGCGGCCCCCGGGCGCTCGGGTGGGTAGAGCGGACGGATGTACTGGTATCCGAGCTGGGGGAAGGACATGGTGGCCCGCGGGGCACGGACGGAGAGGGGGCCCGGCCCCCCGGGGCCGCCCAGCTCAGCGCCGCCCGCGGGCTCCGGGGCGCATCGGGGGCTGGGCCCGGCTGCGGCCGCGCTGCCTTCCGCGCTGCGCTGCGCTCCGCGTTCGCCTATTGATCTGCTCCGGGGCGGCGGCGGCGGCGGCGGCGGCGAGGAGCCAGGTCAGGTCCGAACAGATTGGCGGAGATTCCCGGGGCTCCGGAATCTGATTGACATTTCTACGGGCCCGCAAGCCCCTCCTCTCTGCGCCGCGCTCCCTCCTCTCGGCCGCCGGAGCTGCCTCTGCCCGCGCCTGGCTCCTCGCTGCCCTCCTCTCCCCGAGCAGTGTCGCGCCTCGCTTCCTTCGCCCTCCTCTAGTTTTCACTCCCCCTCCTCGCCCTTCCTCTCTCCTCCCCTTTCTGCGCTCGTCTTCCCCTCAGGATCGCTTCCGCTCCTTCGGGCTCTTCCACGCTCCTCGACTACGGAACTCTCTTTTCGTCTTTCCCTTTCTCACTGTTCGTTTCTCTCTCCTTTCTGTTCCCGTCACTCTTTCTTTTTAAAATCTATTTTCTCTGTACACACACCACACTCCCCACACTCCCATCCCCCGGCCTCTGAACCCTGGGCTGAGGCGGCCTAAACTTGTGGACGCTCGGGGTGCCGTGCGCGGGCGGTGGGGTGGGGGGGAGGGGGTGTGTGTGTCCACAACTGTGTCGGTGTGTCCGTCCCCGCCCTCACCCCCTCCCTCGCCCTTCCCCAAATCTCGGGTCTGACGTCGCGCCCTCTTATTCGACTTTTCCTCGCGTCTCCTTCGCGAGTCGCCAATCGCCTGGGCGCCCTGCAGGCGAGGCCGCCCACCCCGCAGAGAAGGCGCGCGGGGCGGGGCGGGGGCGGGAGCCCCGGCGCAGCGAGTCCCTTCCCGCCCCCTCTGGCCCGCGGCGGAAGGGGGCGCGGGAGGCGCGGGGACCGGGGTTAGCACTGGGTCAGCTCACCCTTCTCGCTTCCCGCCTCTCGGTACCATTCCCCCTGCCCCAGCGCGTGGGATCTGGGTCGGGACCAGACAGACCCTGGTCCGGGGTAGGCGCTGGGACTTTACTCTGCCCCGGCCCGCTTTCCAGATCGCACCTCTAGACTCGGCCAATCTCGGCGGCTTAGGGAGGGAGTGGAAGAGGCGTGAGGGAAGTGGGGGCGTGTGTTCTAAGGGAGTCTTCAAGGACCATCTCACTGCCCGGGGCGGGGCGGGGAGGCGAGGTCGCCCCCTTCCCAGAGGACCAAATCCTGCAATTAACCGCGTTCAAGCCGCGCCGGTGTCAGGGTGCAGAATCCTTTCTTAGAAATGGCGTGTGTGTGTGTGTGGGGCGGGCGGTGCTGCAGAGTGGATGCCCCGGGCATCCTGGGGAGCACTGTCAGGGAAACGGAGCCCGCAGGAGCCCCAGGCCGGCGTGGGATGGGGGAGGAGCAGGGAGCCGGGTGGCGGAGGCTCCAGGAACTTTCAGGGAGCGCTTGGAGAAGTTAATATACTGGAATTTTCGGTCCGTAGAGATTCTTCGTTTCCCTCCCCCTTCTGCTCCCGGGGTCTCCGCGCCAACCTGTTTTCTTTCGGCAGAGATCCTCCCATCCGCGGGGGTGGGGATGGGAGGCAAGACTTTTAGTTTTACAGTGGGGTATTTCCTAAACCAAAGCTGAAATCCCAGAATCCGGGCGCCCACCTTCACAGGTTAGGGCGTGCAGCCGAGAGCAGGATTGAAATTCCCGGTATTGCGGCGACTCCGAGCTAAACGCTTTAGGCCGCTGCAGTGACCTACGCAAAGGCCAGGCCGGCAGCAGGAGCGCTCCGGGGATAATCCCCGGGCGGTGCCTGTCTTGGAGTTGCCAGCCCCGGCTCGGAGGCAGCAAGTGGCTTCCTTGCTCTGATTGATAGAAGAAACTAATCCAAATTCTAGCAGAGCGGAGGGATCGGAGAATCTTGGCCCCAGCAGTCTCTGGTCTCAGCAGCTCCAGGGAGCCCCGCTGGGAGCCCCGTGGAAACCCAGTTTTGACCTCGCCCCTACTCCCCGCCTCTTTCTACCAGTCTTCGTGCAGGTCGGCGCCTCGACTAGGCAGGACAGTCGAGAAAATTGGGTTGGGGGGGCGGGATACAAGGGAAAGTTTTGGGGCATCTAGGTTTGGGGTTCGATTGCGGAGAGTAACATGCGGCCTTCTCAAACTGGGTCAGACTGCTTCCCTAACCTCCTACTCACCTGCTTCTGCCTGATGCCAGGTGTTGGCCTTAGCTGAAATCTCCCCAGAAGAGGAGGTATCAGAGGAAGCTTTGAAATGTTTCCCCGGCGCCTGATTTCGTTTTCAGTTAAACCTCTCAGCCGAGTGGCATAGAGAATCACGGGCTCACCGACTCAAGAAAAATCTCAGGGTTACAAAATTGAGGGTAACGTTACTGCCTGGAGTGTTCCCTAAGCGGAGCCTCGACGGCCCTACAAATCTATAGAGTTTGCATAAGACCCGCCCCGGGGAGAGCTAAGAGCGAGACGCCGAAGTGGAGAAAACTGGGGCTGCGCTGGGCCCCTGTTTAACGCGCAGCTCCTCGAGAAAACAGAACAATGAGCCCAGAAGATGCTTCCTCCGCCCGCATTGACTCGTTATCGACAGGGCTGCGTTGGCCTGCGAGAGGCGGGAAAGAGGCCAGGCAAGGGGCGAGGCTGTGCTCAATAAATTAACCACGCCGGACCAGGGAACCCATGGTCCGGAAGACGAACCTCCAGCCCAGATGAGGACCCAAGGACCTCGATTATTTAGATACCTCCAGGCGCCCCAGGTCTTCAGCAGAACAGCCTCTCCGCTCCCCTGGTCTCCAGCAGAGACCCTAGCCCGGGCGATCCGCGCCCCACCTAGGGACCCAGAGCCCTAGGCAGCCGAGCCCCGACGTGGCGCTAGCTCCCCAATGCCACCAGGCCAGTGGAATCCGGCTCTGAACTGAACTCACGGGTCCAAGGACAGCCGAACCTTTTCCAGGGATTTTTAATCCAAGAGATGGGGTCATAGTGACACTCGCACAGGGAGGAAAAGCAGGTGCACGGGAAGTTGATTTGGGAAAGTCGTGCGCGCAAAAACGCACACAAACCCTTCTCCACCATCTCGCTTTCTTCCAACGTTCCCAGAGCACAAAAATGCTTCGGAAGCTTGCTGTAGACGCTCTCTCAACGCGGCCGAGGGTGTGGGGAATGAGCAGGGGGCGTCCATAGCACTGGCTTAGCGCGCACTCACTGCAGCGCTCCCGGGTCTCACCCTTGGAGGTGCTGGCCCGACGTGTGCCCAGGGCCGGTGGCCCGCCTGGCTCAAGGGCTGCGCCGCGCACAGTACCCGGGCCTCCAGTCACCAGCCCCCATTCCTGCCCCCTCCTCGCTCGGCCTCACGGCGCCCACGCGTCCCCATCGAGGGGCGCCGCTGTAGCCCTAAGTTTCTCCGCCGAGGCCCATCTTCTGTCCTTCCCTCCCAGGCCCGAAGTCCCTGGGCTGCAGTGCGGACCGGCGATCCCTCTGCTTCCTGCAGATGCCGCGGCGCACGCTCCCACCGCTCCCTCCCCCCGCGCTCGGGTTACAGGTTAATGAAATGCTCGTTTTCCTCAGCCATTTGTTTTGTTTTCCTGCAAAGTTCTGATAAGTAGCTAACCAACGAAGCTTGTAATTACAATCTTACAGAAACCGGGCCGATCTGTATATAAATCTCACCATCCAATTACAAGATGTAATAATTTTGCACTCAAGCTGGTAATGAGGTCTAATACTCGTGCATGCGATAATCCCCTCTGGATGCTGGCTTGATCAGATGTTGGCTTTGTAATTAGACGGGCAGAAAATCATTATTTCATGTTCAAATAGAAAATGAGGTTGGTGGGAAGTTAATTTCTCTCCGCTCTGTGAAGCGTAGACAAGAATTTAATGATTTAATTACAGTTGTAAGCCCTTTCCATGAGACTTAAATTGAGCTGAGAATATTTTTTTCTTTCTCTCTCTCTCTCTCTTCTGCGTTCTCTCTCTCTCCGCTATTAACAGCCGCGTGGACGCCCGAGTTCATGGCCTGGTGTCCGCACCGGGAGGGGTTTGTATCAGGCTAAGAGTCCAGACCCCAGCATCCCTGGAGGCGTAGGGCGCGGCCTCATGGGCCGCCCCGGAACGGACTGCCTCTTGTTGCCGGTTATCAGGGCCTCGGACCCCGACTCTGGGCCCAGAGAAGCGACTGGGAAACTTTGGGAGAAAGTTTGCCAACTTTGCTCTCGGCGAGGGAGAGGCTGCCCGAAGGGCCGGGCCAGCAACTGGTCGCTACGGGCAGGGTGCGCCCCCAGCCAGGCCCAGGCACTCGGAGCTGGCCAGGCTGCCCAAGGGGCGGCGCGAGGCCGGCCGGCGGCGGGCCCCTCGCTTCCCCCAATCCGTTCCTGCCCTTCCTCGAAATGGCCCGAGCCCCTGGGTCTCCAAGCAGCCGCGACGCGCAGCAGCACCCAGAGCTGCCAGGATTGGAAACCTGGCCCTCAACGCGAGTGATGTTATTTCTTTTTACCTCTCCAGGATCATCTTTTCCACCTGACTCGAGCAGTTTCACTCCCTCCCCCTCTTTTGTTTTTCCTCTCTCAGTCTTTCCCACTTTCCATATATTCGATTTCTAGGTCATTGATTTTATTTCTCTTCCCTCAATTCCCTCATTCGCTGTTATCTTTTTCTCCCCTGTCTCGACCACTTTTCAGTTCACTTTTCTCAATTTTGCTCCCCCCCTCTTCCCTTGTTTTATGTCTCTTTTTTCCCTCTCTGACTCTGCATCTCTCTCCCTCTTCCTCATTTCTCGTTCTTTCTTTTCTTTTCTTTCCCCGTCCCTCTCGTTCATCCTAATCTATTTCCTTCGTGGATTTCTTGGTCTGTCTCTCAGGTTCTCTGCGTGTATTTTCTCTGCTCTTCCTCTCCAGCATTCGTCCCCTCCCCCCGTGGATCTGCCTTGCCGGCGGCGCCCCCTCCTCATCCATCTTGGGAGATGAATATGTCGCTTTATTAGATGCTGAGGCCAGGGCTGGGTGATGGGGCTCGGCCAGCCTAGCGCATTTTCTTCATGCATATTGACGAGATGGTAATGAGCGCGTTTGCATTGTTGCGCGGAGGTGCTGCGTTTCCTGCCGCAGTTCGGAGCCGGCAAGGGTGTCGCGGGTCCAAGAGTGACCGCAGTGGGCACCTGGCCTGGTGGCCGCAGCTGGCCCTCAGCGGGTTCACGGTGCTCGGGGCCCGGGGAAGGAAGTGACCTCGGCGAGGGCCCAGGCGGGCCGCCGCCTCCTTGCGCTCCTCCACAAAGGCTGTCTGCTCTCCCCTCATTAAAGCCTCGTTATGGGAACCCCCGCCTGGCTCGCGACGGTTCTTTCGGCGCCCCGAGCCCAGGGGCCTCGGACCCCCCTCCCCTGTTGTTTTGAGGCCTGGGATGGAGCGCCACCAGGAAATTAGTGCCTGACAACAACGTCTAATGGCAATAAATTGTTTGCGATTCCGAGTGACACTTCGCGGGATCAAACAGCCTCATTGTGTTCCGTGGCCGGCTTTCTCCTCGTTAATCTTGCAGCGCGCAGTGGCCGCGCTTGGTCAGGGAAGGTTGCGCTCAAGCCCTTGGCTGTCCGCTCTGCCGGCTCTCAGCCGACCTGGAGGATCAGTCTTTCTAGAGGGGCTTGTCCTTTCCCGAGAAGGTCTGCAAAGCTCGGGACCCGGGGGCCCAGGCTCACCTCTCCAAGAGGTGGTTTGTGAAAGTCAGAATCTCGAAGAGCACAAACTCTGAATTGAGCTAAGATGGAACTGACGTACTGCTTGCTGGAAATTCAGAGAGTGTGAAACCCCCTTTCGAGACACAGTGGAGTGGGGATTCTTTGGGCATTAGACTTTTGCATTAATCACCCCCCACCCCCCACCATTCTCTTCCAACTTCATACTGGGAAAGTTGAGAGCTTTTGGTTTAAAAGTAAAAAAATGTCAAGCTCTGGCCTTGTCTGGAATTGTGTTGGATCTTGTCCCCCGAACTTAAAGCCCTCCACTACCGCCTCTACTATTATTTGCTTAGTATTTTTCCTTTTGTTGACTCAAGTTAAATATTTAAATACATGTTTTTAAAAGAAAACTTGATATTACTACTGTAAATGGACAAGTGGCTATTACTCACCATAAAAGTAAATTGTAAAAGATAAACCCAAGTAAAACCAAGCAATGTTAATACATTTTAGCCATGATTGCTTGCTTGGGAATGACTTCTAGAGGTCCAGCTGTGTGTGTGTGTGTGTGTGTGTGTGTGCGTGCGTGCATGCATGCGTGTGTGTATGTGTGTGTGTCTGTGTGTATTAGCAAGTGTTGTTTTTCAGTTGCTCATTCGTGTCTGCACCCATGGACTGCAGCACACCAGGCTTCCCTGTCTTTCACCATCTCCCAGAGCTTGCTCAAACTCATGTCCATTGAGTCAGTGATGCCATCTAGCCATCTTGTCCTCTGTCATCCCCTTTAGCAAGTGTTGGGAATGTCAAATACTGAATCTTTCTAGAAGATGAGAGAATTGAAATGTTTCTCACTATTTAATAATGTTAGCTAATTCTCTGTCTCCACACTACCTAATATTATGTTCAGGATCCTAAAAGCTGCATTGGTTTAGGGTTTACCAGAGTCTGTTGAAGAGTGTGTAAAAAATTCAAGATAAAAAATAACATGTTGAGTTATTATTAATTACCAAATAATTGTGTTAAGCATGGTCACACAAAATCACATTTAATTCTCACAATAGACCTATGAGGGAGAGACTAGCTTAGGGTGACCACGTCTGGTTGTGCAGGATGCTCACTGAACAAGGGCACATCGCTGAAGAGCTAAGAGGCTCTGAAGTCCAGTCTTTCTGTGCTCAGGGCTGCACTCCAGGAAAAGCAGATTTCTCTAATCTTCACAAAGCTGGGGTATGACCCAGCCCTAGAGAAGGGGAAACAAGACTTAGAGAGCTTGGCAAAGCCCAGGCTGGAGCCCCCATCTAATATTTAATCCCTCCTCTGGGAGGAAGATCAGGACCTTTGGGTGATTGGAGGAGGTGGTGTAGGGGTCTGGGAGGAGGTTACTGGAAGGCTAGTCCCTGGTTTGACCAAAGGTAAAGGCATTGGGCCTGCCAATGCAGGAGATGCAAAAGACTTGGTTTCGATCCCTGGGTTGGGAAGATCCCCTGGAGTAGGAAATGGCAATGCACTCTAGAATTCTTGCCTGAAGAATTCCCATGGACAGAGGAGCCTGGTGGACTATAATCCATGGGGTTGCAAAGGGTTGGACACGACTGAGCGCGTGCGCGTGCACACACATACACACACACAAAGACACACATACACAAAGGCAACAGGACTGCTGTGCTTTCCCTTCCCCTCGACCCTCACACTTCTTGCAAATATTTGGAGAGGACTTGGGTAAAAATACAGTAGATCGAATGTACGTTATCTCAGCTAGCAACCAGGTTGGGGCAGGGGGAGAAGATGTTCTTGGTTTGCTTGACCTAACCATGGGTGTTTCAACTGTTCCTTGCCTTTTTTTTGGTTCAGTTTACCTGCATGAGTTTAAAGCCCAGAGTCCTGCTTTGTTGCCATCCATATTGTTAACAAGTTTCAGATTCTTAAGGGCGAACAGGAATTGCATTGCATCAGAGACTGAGAATTAGGGTGACCTCTGGAGAAGGGAATGTCTACCCACTCCAGTATTCTTGCCTGGGAAATTCCAAGGACAGAGGAGCCTGCCGGGATACAGTCCATGGGGTCGCAAAGAGTCGGATACAGTTGAGTATCTAACACTTTTTTCTGGTCATAGACATCTTTGGGGGGAAGTTTTGTCTCCATAGAGTATTTTTTTTTTAAGTTGAATTGCTTGCCAACACTTGCTAATTAGGTGATTTTATTTAAAAATCTAGATTTCAGTTTGTTAGTAAAACCAGAAGGCTAAGAAATCCAAGACTGTCTTCAATGAGATCACAGCAACGACTCATGTATCTGGACACCCATTTGCTCCGATTTGCTCTGTTGCCTGCAGGCAGCTGAGTGGTAGCACTGCTTTGCATCCTTAATTGAGAGAATGGAAGCCCTTGCAGTAGATGCTGCTCCTCCATTGTGAAGAAAATAGCACAGAGTGTGATCTGGGCAAGGTGTTGTAAGAGCTTCTTTCCTTTTCTCTCTACCACACTCCTGGTTAGCTGGGTAGGTGCTTTTCCAGCTAACCAGGTTGAGGGCAGGTTTCAGGAGTTGAAGAAATGTGTAGCTCTGAGGGATGTCCAGGAGACCCAGCTAGGCCAATTCTAAAGCTTCTGGGAACAGACTAGAAAGACTGGTCCCTAAATAGTCATTGGTAAGATGCCCCCACCCACTTGCTTTCCCATCCTTAGCATCAACCCCCTTCCCCCCCTTTTTTTTAATTTGGCTGCACTGGGTCTTAGTTGTTGTTGAATGGGGGATGGGAATCTAGTTCCCTGACCAGGGATTGAACCCAGCCCCCCCTGCATTGGGAAGGTAGAGTCTCAACCACTAGACTACCAGGGAAATCCTGTGCATCAACCCTTTCTTGATTCCCATGCGCCGTCTTAAAAATGTTAAGCCATGAAACCTGCTTCCTCCCTTCTTTTCTCCCTTTCCCTTTCTCCTCGCAACAAACATTTATTGAATGGCTTCCACAAGCTAGGAACTGTGCTAAGTTTTGGGAAACATGAGCTGGACAGGCCAGGACCCTTTTCTCATGGAGCTTACATTTTAGTGGGACAATCAAATACCAATGAGGAAAACAAGGAGGACAAATTAAGATGTGTTAAGTTCTACAAAATGGCACAGACAGTAATACAGGGTGTACTGAGTTGGATGATGTCTTCCTCAGATTCATATCTTTCCCAGAACTAAGAACCCAGCCTTATTTGGAAATAGGGCCCTTGAAGATGTAATGAACTGAGGTTTCATTCATTACACTGGGGTTTCATCTCCTATTGGAGCAAAATGGGCTTGGAATCCAGTAAGACCAGTGTCATCGTAAGAAGGGGAGAAAAGACAGAGCCAGACACAGAAGGGAACAAGGTGATGTGAAGACTGAGGCAAAAATTGGATTGATGCATCTGTAAACCAAGGAATGCCAAAAATTGCTGACAATCACCAGAAGCTAGAAAGAGGCAAGAAAGAATTTTCCCCTAGGGCCTTTTGAGGGAGCATAGCCCTGTCAACACCTTGATTTCAGACATCTAGTCTTCAGAACCATAAATTTCTGTAGTTTCAAGCCATCTAGTTTGTGGTAATTTGTTACAGCAACCCTACGAAACTAATGTACAGACGGATAAGCGAGCTGTTACTTTAGATAGCACAACCACAGATCTGCAAGGAGGAGACGACGTTTTAGCTGAGATGGAGTCAATCGTGAAATTCTCAGAGAAGTGTGTTTTAGAGCTGCTCAGTCCAATACGGTAGCTGCTAGCCACATGTGACCATAGAACACTTGAAATGCAGCTGGTCCAAATTGAGATAAGCTGAAAGAGTAAAACACCCACCAGATTTCAAAGACTTAGTATGAAAAGAAAAGAATGTAAACTATTTCATTCATTTTTTAATATTGATGGCACATTGAAACAATATTTTGGATAGTTCGAGTTAAATAAAGAATATTATTAAAATTAATTTCACCTGCTTCTTTTAGCTTTTTAAAGGTGGGCAGTAGGAGATTTTGAATTACATTTGTGACTCACATTACATTTCTATTGCATGGTGTTGTTCTAAAGGTAAGAACAGCATGTGCAAAGGCCCTGTGGCAGGGAGGAGTGTTTCAATACTCAGCCTGCATGTTGATATTCATTTGGTGATGTTGCTAGACATGGGGAGCTGATCTGAGAAGCCCTGTGGAACTTACAAAGAGTAAATATGTCTTTGTTCCATTTCAGTGGAAAGAGTGGCCATGAAGTTCAGTCCTTCAACCTGAATGGTGTCTCCTTTCTCTTTGCCAACACTCTTAGACACAAACTTTGCCATCCTTTCTGCTTGGTACATTCATTTCATCCTCTCCCTATGCTTGTTAACATGAGGACTTATAATGAGGCCTAAGTCCTTATGCTGAGGCCCTGGGGTGATATATAAGCACCCTCCCCAAACCCACAGCTTTTGCAAAGTGAACTTCAAAGACTATATTAGTCCACTTATAAAGCTAGAATTTTGTTCTTTTAAGACACAGTTCACAAAAGGATACTCTGGACAGTGGGATGTTGCCTCTGAGATGAGACTATAAAAAGACTATGGCTTCTGTCTTGGGCACTTCTGACTCTCTGTCCTTGAGATTACCAGCTGCCATGTTGTGAAGATGCTTAGACCACTGTTGAAGGGGCCCAGCTGGCAAGGAATAATGCTTTCTGGCCACCATGTGGGTGAGCTTGGATGTGGATTCTCCAGTCCCTGCTGAG